AAATCAGGAACAAAATAAGGATGTCTACTATCACCATTCCTATTCAGTATAGTTTTTGAAATACTAACCAGGGCAATTAGACAAGAGAGAGAAATAAAAGGAATAAAGATAGCAAAGGAAAAAAGTTAAACTATCACTATTTGCAGATGACATGATACTCCATATAGAAGACCCAAAAAACTCCATTACAAGACTACTAGTGGAAATAAAATAAATTCAGTAGTGTAGCTGGATACAAAGTCAATGCTCAAAAATCAATAGCATTCCTGTACACAAACAAAAAACTCACCAAGAGAGAAATTATGGAAATAACTGCATTTCACAGTATCATCTAAAACAATGAAATACTTAGGAATCAACCTAACCAAGGTGTAAAAGACCTATATGCTACAAATTACGCTACACTTAAAAAGGAGAATGAAGAGGATATTAGAAAATGGAGGGATATTCCTTACTCTTGGCTAGGAAAAACCACACTGTGAAAATGGCCATACTCCCAAAACTGTTATACAGATTTAATGCAATTCCAATCAAAATACCATTGACATACCTCACAGATCTAGAGAAAACACTCCTAAAATTCATTTGGAAACAAAAGAGACCTAGAATAGCAAAGGCAATTCTGGGCAACAAAGGCTAGGCAGGAGGCATTTCAATTCTGACTTGAAACTATACTACAAAGCCACAGTGATAAAATTAGCATGATACTGGCAAAGAAATAGACCTGAGGATCAGTGGAACAGATTAGAAGATGCAAGCACAACTACAAAGACACTCAAGCATCTGATATTTGACAAACGTGCTAAACATGTTCACTCGAAGAAGGATAGCTCTTTAATAAATGGTGCTGGAAAAATTGGCTCTCCACACACGAAAGACTGAAAATAGACACATGCATATCACCATGCACAAAACTAAAGTCTAAATGGATCAAAGATCTAGATATTAAAACAGAAACACTAAATCTACTGGAAGACAAGGTAGGTAGAAGTCTTGGGAGACAAAGGAGTGGGCAGAGAATTCACGAACGAAACACAAACTACACGGGAAACATTTCAAAGAATCAGCAACTGGGATCTCATATTATTGAAAACTTTCTGCACTTCAAAAAAAAAAAATCACCAACAAGGTGAAAAGAAAACCCACAGAATGGGAAAGAATTATAGCCAGCAACCCCTCAGACAAAGGACCTATATCCATAACATATAAAGAATTGAAAAACATCAAGCCCCCCCAAATTCAAAGGGCCTCTCCAAAAATAGGCATCTGAGATGAACACACATTTCTCAGATGAAGATTTACAAATGGCAAATAAATACATGAAGAAATGTTCACCATCACTGGTCATTTGAGAAATGCAAATTAAAACAGCATTGAGACTTCATCTCACTCCAGAAAAAATAGCTGCTATCAAGAAAATAACTGATAACAAATGTTGGCGAGGCTACGGGGAAAAAGGCACACTGCTCCATTGTTGGTGGGAGTGTAGACTGGTGCAGCCACTATGGAAATCTCTATGGAGATTTCTTAGAAGACTAGAATTGGAAGTTCCATTCAACCCAGCTATTCCCCTGCTACCCATTAGGCGCGTTTTCCCAGAAAACCTGAAAATATCACACTGATATATGGGCACCTATGTTCATAGTAGCACAATTTGTAATAGCTAAATCTTGGAAACAACCAAAATGCCCATCAACTGCAGAGTGGATGAAAAAGATGTGGTATCTTTATACAATGGAATATTACTCAGATAGATAAAGGATGATCTTCAGGTATTCATATTGAAAAGGAGGCAACTTGATAGTATACTCATAATTGAAATAAATAATCATATTTATAAATATCACATTGTATCTCTAGTGTAAAAAGTAACAAGAACTGTAGGAGTAATAAAACCTAAAATGTGTAATTGCTATTGTAAAAAGAGAGGAAAAGAAAGTGCTCTGCAGGATATAATTGCATGTATGTTTACGTGTGTAAGATAGATAACCATATTCCTAAGGTTTTGTTTGGATCGTTGAGCAGAACTACTTGTAGTCTCACTGTTTGAATGTCCTGTTTGTATGCCTTAATTTTGTAACTTGAGCCAACTATTTCTAAGATGACAGTATGTAATTTATCAACTAGTGATTTCTTAGTTTTTTTTGGAATTTTGTATTGTTGCCACTGATTTTTCTGCTTTGTTTTTTTCTCTTTAAATAAAATTTTTAAAAAATCAAAAATCAAAAAAGATGTGGTATCTTTACACAATGGAGTACTACTTACATATAAAGAAGGATAAACTTGAGACTTGTACAGGTAAATGGATGCAACTTGAGACCATACTCATATGGGAAAGAAATAATATATGTGTAAGTACTGTATTGTCCCTCTAGCATAAAATAACTAAAAGAGTAATAAGATTCAAAATGTATGCATCGTGAAAATCAAAGGGAAAGAAAAGTGCTCAAAAGGAAAAAGCAACTGGGATAGGGGAAAGGAGAAAAGGAAGAAGAGGAAAGACTACACACACACACACACACACACACACACACACACACACAAGATAGATAGCAATACTATAATCTCTGTAAGTGCATCAAAAAGAATAGTTTGCGCTTTCAGTGTTTGATCATTTTTTCATACCTAAATCCTGTAACCTGAACAACTACTTCGAACATAACAATATGCAATATATTAACTACTATTGATTTCTCACTATTTTTTTAAAATTCTATATTGTTTCTGGTTTTGTTTTATTGTTAAAATAATTTTTTTAAAAAAAGAATCAATTTAAAAAATTAGCAACTGAAATCAATAGACATTTATCAGAAGTACAAATGATCAATGCTCAACATGTCTGGCCATTAGACAAATGCAAATCATAACACTGAGATTCCATCTTACTCCAGAAAAAAATTGCTATCATCAATAAATTGAACAATAACAAATGCTGGAGAGGTTGCAGAGGAAATGAAATTCTCTTTCCTTGTTGATGGAAATGTAAACTAGCACAAACATCATGGAAAACAGCATTTCTAAAGACAGAATTCCACTTGATCAGTTATTGTCCTAGGTATCTTCACAGAGTTAATGATGACAAATACAGTGAATCCATACTATGTTTATAGCATTATAACGCATGACAGTTAGCTTGCACACAACCTATACATCCATTACCGCATGAAGGGATAATGAAAGGCCGTTTTACACACACTGGAGTACTACTTGTCATCAAAGAGAATACATTTCAATTATTTGTAGGAAAATACAAACACCTTCAGACCATTATGTTAAGTGAAATGAATCAGACCCACAAGCTTAAATGTGTGATTTTTCTTATATGAGAAATACAAAATATATGTAAAGTATAAAATAGAAGATAGGTAATAGGAAGTAGGGAGACAGATCTTTTGAAAAAGGGAAGGGGACCAAGAGATGGAGGGAGGGGGAAGGAAAGTGTGGGGAAAGAGACGAAAAGCAATTAAGATGTGTTATGTATGTATATACTAACTATGCACAAGAACGTAATCATATACTGCAACATGCACAGAACTAATAAAAAGTGTTAAAAAATGAAATGTTAGGGTTGTATATTTTTCTATCATAGCTATTAATTTCCAGGAAACAGGAAAGATCTATTATTCAGACCTTATTGGGTTCTTTTATTTGATCAAATAATTTGTAGTTGGTTTTCATGATTTTCTAATGGAGACAGTCTCAATACTTTCAGAATCCATATTCAAGCATTAGCTGAGAACTCCAGAAAAATGTTTACACGCAACGTTAATGTAGGCAGTTCTGATTTACTCTATGCTCTCCTAGAACCACTATTAAATGTAATGGCTGACCCAACTGTCATTATCAAATGAAATAAGATCTGTCTAGTATTTACATAATTAAAACTAAATTTTTCAATAATATTTTAAGAAGTCAGTGTTATGATAAAAATTAAAGTATGATAATTGATTTTGGGTAAATCTTCTAATGTTTTAGTAATAATTCCTGGTAATCGTGAAGCAGACAGGGTAATTCGGGTTTTGAATACTTTCTTGTCAAAGCCCTTGAACACTGTAGAGTATTTTTCATCATTTTACAAATGAGAAAATCTCAGCTCAAAGGCACAAGTAATTTATCATAGATTGCAAAACAAGCTAATGAATAATTAAGCAAGGATTTATAGTCACTATATCTAGCTCTAAAATCCATACACCTCCCACTGCCTTACATTTTTAATTCAGTGGGACATTAAAATTAAATTGAGCCTTTCAACATGTCCTGGCAGAAAATATAACAAATGTGTATAGGATTTATGGCTAACTGACAACTATACCCAAAGAATATCTATCTTGTGAATTCTGAAGGGGATTTCAAAGTAAAAAGTCATGGACATCTGTTTCTGTCACCAACAGTATTACTCTTTCAAAGTTAATGCTCACTTCCAGGCAAAGAAGGCAAAGGCACAGATAACCAAGTTGAGCAAGCTCATTAACATAACGGGGATTACAGAAGAGAGATCTTAAAACATCTAAAGACATGGACCATAATTAGCAGGAAAATATCAATTGATCAGAAATAAAGATTAGCCCTTGGGTTAAAAAAATCAAATGCTCACAAATAGGATGTGAATAACCACAGTCCCTGTGAAGAAGACCCACGTAGTTTAAGTCAAAAGCTAACTTGGTGTAACATGGCTGCTAAGCCTGTGCAATATAATTTCAACATGTCTGAATATCACTGTTACTGACCATAGGAAGGGGTTAATAAAGCCGCTTCTCCATATCTGGAAATACATACTTATTTCCAGCAGGTGCATTTTAGCCTGTCACAATGTACTGCAATGCCAGTCACAGATGCCTAGTTTAACTCCAGGATGGAGAATATATGAGAGGAGTTAGGTGATTATATAACTCAGGAGCAGGAAATCCACAGAATAATATATTCCTCATGGCTCAACCTGATAGAATTGAAAGTGTTTGTCACGTTTTTGGTGCAATCTGAGAGTTCTTGGCTTTACTTACCACTACTCCTGTCTTATACAGGAGGTAATGCACAGTCTGTGTGACATCAGCAGCGTGCATCAAATTATGGTAAGGATTTTTATGCTTGCTGTATCCTACTTCCAGAGCCTCCACAAATGAGACGAGTGCAGAAATGGGGATCTGAAAGAGAGCAACAAACTCAACTGTTATTTTCAAAGAAGAAATAAAAGTCTAACTTCCCTGAATGCTCCTTTCTGGAGGCATAAAATACCAAGAAAGTCATAAGCACCTGCCTGGTAAGTATGAGTTCAAGCCCCAGTACAAAAAAAAAATCAAGAAAGGAAATTCTCATAGTTTGTATTTACATATAAAACAATGATTCTGATGCATATGTAGAACACTAAGTTATTGGTGTCTGTGATGTCCTCATCTATCCTTAAGCTTGCTCCCTAATCCCAAGGGGGAAAAGGGAGGCTACCAGGACACCATGCAATGTTGGAAACAATATTGACCCACATTACCACTAATTATTAGATTCAGTTAGTGAAATCATTCAGTATTTGTAACATAAATACCAGTGAAATGAGACCTTCCAGAATGCAAGTTAACAATAATATACTGCCAAATAATAAACATAAAATATAGCCTATTCCTGTTACCATATATAGCAGAGTATCATGCTTTGCTTTGGGTTTTGTTTTTGGTTTTTGATGGTTGTTCTCTGCTCTTCCTCCTACCCAGCTCCAGCCCCGTGTACAACACATACAGCCAAGACCTGGTCTGCAGAAATCCAGTATTTTCTTTGATGCTGGTGGAAGCTTATGTCCGTTTTGTAACAACTCTACAATTCAAGAGTCTTGTGTACTTTTGTTTTCCCACAAATAAATGAGACATGTGTCATGGTATATATTCATTTACTTCTTGAAACATAAAAGACCTCAGTCTTTTCTTAGAACCACAAGTAACTCAGGATAATATTTCCAACTGTCTTACTTGCTATTCTGTCTCAGATATATGTAATGTACATTGCTTCCTTTTGGATATGACAAAAAGTTAAGAATTTTCTTAGATGTGTGCCCAAAATAAGCAGACCCTAGAAAATCACTATTACTCTATTAGCTTACAAAATGTTGTCATTGCACAGTTTACAATAAAGTAGGGGATTTTTGAAACTAGAGGATATGTATTCTGGAAACTACCACATTAGAAAGAGAAACTAAGGAAAGTATTATTGCAACACATTTAAGAGTCCATAATCTAGTCTTCTTTTGTGCATTCTTCCATGCTTAACATATATGGAATTTCAGAACTTTAAATTTGGCTTTTACAAAATGAACTCCTCAATTTTAAAAATGAAGATCCTAGCTAGATGTGTTGGCACACACTTCATAATCTCAGCACTTTGGGAGACTGAAGCAGGAGTCTTGCAGGTCTGAGCCTAAATTGCACTAGGCTGGGCAATTTAAGGAGATGCTGTTTCAAAATAATAAGTATAAAAAGTGATGGAAATGTAGTTCATTGCAAAGGGTCCAAGATCAATCTCCAGCACACACACACACACACACACACACGAGAGAGAGAGAGAGAGAGAGAGAGAGAGAGAGAGAGAGAGAGAGACAGAGACAGAGAGAGACAGAGAGAGACAGAGAGAGACAGAGAGAGACAGAGAGAGAGAGAGAAACAAGAGGGGCCTGAGGCTGTGCAGCTGTCCCCTCTGGAGATGGATGAGCCAGTGCAAAGCTAAGCAAAAGTGTATGTATGTGCATAAGACCTTTACCTCCCCAGGGAAAGGTTTTGAGAATCCTCTAGTTTTTTTTTTTTTATACAGGTTTGTGACACAAAACAAATGAAGGACCTAAGGGCCACTGCTATAAAGTATTTATGGATGTGAAAGCAACACATCCTCCAATATTCAGTCCATGGGATAGTGATAAAGAACCATGCTATCCAGAGAAATCAATGTGCTGCACAGAAAAAGACTGCATTTTCCAGAGGCTCATTCATCTGATGCAGAAAGCCTGAGAAGCTCCCCTTTTGAGATGCTGGCCAATGGATACACAGGTTTGCTTGAGGACCTGGTCTCACTTGAGAAGCCCAGGATATGCAACAGCTGAACACCAGAGACACTGCATGCTCTTTGTCTACAGTGAGGAATTAATTTAAAGCACGTACAGCTGGGAAATACCAATGGTCTGTCACTGATGATAAGTGGGAATATTTGTTTGAATGAGCCAACGGCTGGGAAAGAAGTTTACAGAGGCACAGAGGTTCACTCCGTCTCCATTACCACCTCTCTGACAGCAGTGGCTGATAGTACACACTGTGATGTTGAAATGAGGCCTGTGGGAAGTGCCCAAGGTTCAGTTACTGCAGGCTTTAGGCTGTAATTCCGCAAAGACTGAGGCTCAAATGGGCTTCTCCTGTCTCCTTGTCAATGAGACACCCCAGCCATAATGTGAATGAAAGCATCAAGAAAGAATGCACAGCAGTAGCAGAGTCATAAAGGTGCTTCTTTAGTTACCCAGAGCAGTTTTGGTCGACATAAAAGAACTGGCCCAAGTCTCTTTGCACTGGGATTGTCAAACTGGTGTGGCAGTACACACCAGTAATCCCTGCACTCTGGGAAGATGAGGTAGTAGGACTGCAAGTGTGAGGCCAGCCTGGACAACTGAACAGGATCTTGTGTTAAAATGAAAGAAAAAAAAAAAAAGCTGAGGATGTAGTTCAGTGTAAAGGTCTTGGGGTCAGTCTCTAGTCCCACAAAATAATCAGATTGGCATGTAGGTAGATAGATGACAGAACTCAGGTTAACCTCCAAATCACGTAAAGACAGACAGATGTACGCTGTTAACTTGTCTTATTCATGAGGTACTGACCTTAAAACGGCTGATTAGATCATAGCGCGTGAGTAATTCATAAAAAATGAATTTCAGTGCATGATCCCCACTGGCCTCATTGAGGGAAAAGACATCGAAGGACCAATTGTCCACATCCTGCAAGACAGGGCAGGGATAAAGAATGTATTAGTTTGCAGTCTAACAATCATCTCAAAACTTTTCCTGGCCTACAGCCCACACCTGGGATTTCACAGCATAAGGCTTCACCACCCTCCAATGTTTTTTTTTTTTTTTTTTCAGTCTTACACAGCATTTGCTGTCAAAAAAAAATAATTTTACTATGGCTAGTTGGTATATGATTTCTATCTTTCACATGGCTAATGGTCCTTTTTAGCCAGAGTTAATAATCCACGAGATGGTCATAGCAACATTGTGCTGACCGATGACACTGTAATCTCAAGCTGAGCTGTGACCCAGGATTCATTTGCTAAATTCCCAGCTAGGCCCAGAAAAGAGGCAGCAAAGCCATTTAAGATCAACTGGAGACTTGAAGCTTTACCTTGACTACTTTAACTGACACTGCAATGAGTCACAGTCATTGTCTGATTCTGTGTCCTGAGGAAAAGGCCACTGACAACTAAATGCTTTGTCATAGCTGATAATTTTTAAGCTGAATCTTCAGAATGTAGAAAAGAAAAGCCCTCCATCACTGGAAATAAATAGATTATCATAGTAAAAAGCTGAAATCTATTCTGGATATCACTACTCAGAGAAATGAGACGGAGAATAAATATAATGAGGTGGATGTTCTCTCTGGACCCCTATTTTATGAAAGTCTGAACTGTAGTTCTCAAATGTCAATGTTCTTCCAAACCATACAAAAGACCAACCAAAAACGACTCTCCAGAGGTGTAATAGGGATGGAGACACAAGAAGATGAGGAGTCCAGGGTCCGGAATCTGCATTTTTAACAAGTACTAATTGAACTACCTCAAAACATTCTTCTTCTTTACCAAATCGTCCAAAGACCAGTTCTGAGGTGAAACTGTGTGACCCTCTGTTAGTGCAGCCTGTGGGAAGCACGAGTCTCCCCTCCCATTTAAAGACTGGCGCTGGTCCACCATGTCACTTCCTAAGTCACAGACAGCTTCCCTTCTCAAGAAGAACATGCTTCTGCATTTCCAGTAACCTCACTCCAGAAGACTGGAGACAAAGCACCTCAAATTAGAAATTAGTACGTATTGAGTGAGGGGGGAATAAAAAGAACATATTCAACCTAATTCAAATTTAGAGCTGAGTGGTGCTTAATTATTCTCTTACTTGAAGTCATTTTATGCCATTTGCTTACATTAACTGCAAAAGTTAATGTGACAGTGGCATAATGGTTATTTTAGTGAATTATAGCCTCTCAGTCTTTGGGGAAATTTTCTGTAATAGGAAAAGAAAAAAAACCCAGTAGCAATTCCATATAAACGCCTGGCAGTAAAGTGAAAATAACCTTTTTTTCAACAGGCATTATACAAAAAGAAAAAAGGGAATCTATCACTGTGGTCTCTTCAGCTAACCTCTGAGCCACCACAAAGAAAACAGGAGTTTGAGGAATTGGAAAAATAAAACACAGTTAAAAAAAAGTCTTTGAACTTCTCCAGCCAACAGGGCACAAGGCCAAGAGAAACAGCAGCTTTCACCTTAATGCACCCATCAGGAATACATGTGGAGAAAGCCAACAGTTAGTTCTTATTCCTGGTCTGAAGGGTTTAAGTGCCTTGCCTCTGAGAAGGACCTACAGACATCTAGGAATTTCTTTTCCTTATATATAAAATAAAAATTCATGCACATCACAGGTTGTTGCATGTTTTTGGTCACCCCACCCCTCATCAGTTTTTCTGCATAGAAAAGAGGCTTCAATTTGGAAGCAATATTCTCATAAATGTCTCAGTGTCCTTGTCCCAACCTGTATTTCTGTTCATGAGAAAGGAAGAAATTACAAATTAAAACATTCTTGTAATGTTCTTACAGCTTTTGCTGAAAATTTCAGGTTTAATATGAAATCAGTGCAACCTCAGAGTGGATGTTATTAAATAACGGTTCTCGAGTGGTGGTATCACTGATTAAATGGGAAATATTATAAGTCAGACCCATGTGCTCAACATTAGAGTGTGGGTCATGGAAGAGTGAGAGAAAAACACGTGCCCAGTACTATAGCTTTCTTGTTTTTAAAGACATTAAGAAGAGACAAAAAATACAGAGACAGAAAAACAAATGTGGATACATCTCACACACACACAAAACCACATATATCTGTCTATGTATCACAAATTCACCTACTGAATGTATCTGAGATAAGAGGAAGAACTATGGATATATAATCATGATGGCCCTTTGGGGCTTTTTGTTTATGTTAAACTAATTAAGAAGTAGTCTTACTCCCAATTTGATGAAGTTATTTTTAAAAAATCAGGTCATATTTTTTCAGGTTTCAGAGAAAGGTAATGGCTCAGAATTCTATGATGTACCTGAAAAAAAATGGGTCAACACCATTGTAGACAAAATGAAGTCAACCAACCCAAATATCCTAGGGCCCAGCTGGGAATCCAGAGCCAAAGCATGTACAACATATGTGTATCAGTCACAGACAAGTGGATTTGAATCAACAACTGCTTAGAGAAATACTTCAGCTTTTGAGATTTTAGAACTATTCTATATAATTCTGAGCTTGCCTTCTTGGAAATAATTCAACAGGATTTAAGGCATTTAAGTGCAAATATTTGTAGGACTTCCCATCGAATACTTAACTCACTGTAAGTCTTCAGAAAACATATGTAGTGCAAAAATATATAGATATATGGAAAGGGACAAGGGTTTGGGGGACACATTCATTAACAAAATTTTACTGAGAGCTCACAGTGTGCTGTAAACTGCTATCAAACATTAGCTCTATCTCTAATCAATTTTTGAACTGTTGTTAAATATGTTTCCTCTTCTATATAATGAATTTGGAATGAGTAATAGTCCAATAATAGTGATAGAATTATAATCACCAAAGATCCTGCTAGTGGTAAATACTTTTGTATTTGATATTTGATTCCCTATGGTCAAAGGCAAACATTACAAGGTTAGATCACTGTATAAAACCACATAGCCCTAGGGGAACGAAAAGAAACAAAAGCCACTCAGAATTTGAGTTTTTTAAAAAATAGGGAGATAAAGGGAAGAATAATTAGAAAAAGAACTGAAAAGGAAGCCTCTCATTTTCTAACAAATTTAACTATAATTTAAAAAGTAGCAGGCACATTGTAAAATCTGTTGCCAGTATTACCTTTAATGCTTCAATAACTGCTGGTGGGTAGCTCAGTCCAACCATGTTTGATGTCCGTCTATACATTCTGGCAAAGTCAGGAAGGAAAATGCAAAGTGATATCTTACAAAACAGGATTATGAATCCAAAGGCTTACACAAAACTTTGACAAATAATGAGAAATCAGGATGTTTGGGACCCAAGTTACCTAATTTTTTGACATTTTTAAAGTCACTCATATGATCTCAGTGTTAAATTCAAAACTTAATGAAAGCAACCTCAAACACATGAATCACTGGGGAAAAAACTAAAGTCTGTGTGCCCCAGATTAGAAATTAAATTATTAAAATGGGTCACTTGTTCTGCCCAAAACAACTGCTGTACACTAGACACAGTGTACATGAACCTGCATGAAGAGCTCCTGGGGGTAACCCGTTTTAGAACTACCAAAAATGAGCAAGAAAAATGTCCCAAGTGAACTTAGAACTCACTATGGTATTTTTAAAATGTGCAATTGTGCACGAAGGAAATTACGGGAAAATAAAATCAATAAATCTATTTCTACGGCAGAAGATAACTCAACTTCAAACTGAAGCCATGGGGAACTCATCCCCTTTAAAATACCTATCCTCCCTTACTTGTTCTGAAAGTAGACACTCCACATACTTAAAAGGATGATGGAATAGATACCTTTCCTTCTACAAAAATTAGGGAATATACTCAAACTAAATCTTCTCTGCTTAACAAAAAGAGTTGGAGCAAAGGAAAATGCTTGTCCCAATGATGCTACAAAGCTTTAAATAGATAGGGTTGTGTCATTTCCCAGTAAAAAATGTTTCCACCCAGAATTTTCAGTGCTTTTACAGATATCAAAACCTCACTGACACGTATTTTCCAGTTGTTGGAAGCTGGCATTTCTTTTAGTGTTTTAGCCACTGAAAGGCATCTTTACCTCTCCACAAATATCCCAGCCTGAACTGCATGGACGATGCTCTTGAACCTGGGCTTCTCTTCGCTCCTCCTGAGCATCATACCCATCTGCCGTGTGAAGGTAGAGGCCAGCCAGTCTCGGACCTCAGAAGGCACAGCATCTGACTGGATGTCACTGAGCTCATCTTCTGTATCCAGGAGTCGCCTGAGCAGAAGAAACATCACCAGAACACTGAGACCAAATCTGAAGTCAGAGCCCTCTCTTCATAACAACTGCTCCTCCTCGCTCCAGTATACACACAGGTGCAAAGAAACCAAATTCAGTTGTTCCCATAAAAGAGAGCACCATTTTAGTAAGAATGGAGAAATCTCAACCATTTCACAAGGGCTTCTTGGACTACAATCAAATTCAGTTTGGATCTTGAATGTCTCCCAAAGGATTGTTTACTAAAAGTTTCGTCCTCAGCCAGTGGCACTAATGGAGGTGTTGGAAACTTTAAGAGGTGTGTAAAAGGAAGTTTTCAGACCATGAAGGGCATGCCCTTGGAAAGTGCTATGGTGTTTAACCCCTCTTCCTTCTCTCCTTTGTTTCCCAGCCATGGGTTGAGCAGCTTTGCTCCACAACTACGAAGTGCTGCTTTGCCACAGGTTCAAATGCAACTGGGGAAAAACAAAAACAAAAAACAACTAGGGCAAACTACATTCTCAAGAATCAGGAGCTAAAATAAACCTTTCCTCTTTGTAAGCTGATTATATTGGGCATTTGTTACAGGATCAAAATCTAACTAACATCTAACATACTGAGCAAAGAAACAAAGACAGAAGTCAAAAACACTCTACTTCAGTCTCCATTGGAGACAAGAGCACCTAGTGTACTTACTCCCTGAAAGCTAATAGAATTTAAATTTGAAATTTAACACTTTCCTTTAAAAATGCTTTCTGAGAAGGCTTAAATAATTTCATATATGCATCATATGATATTATTTTATTCAAAGATAATGAGCAGTTAAAAACCACACAAAATATTACCCAACTCACAATGAACAGTCATCAGAAATAATGGTCTTAAATAATGATAAACTGATATTCATTCTGGTTTAATTCATTCTGGTTTAGGATATAAAAGAAACTTATATTTCTAAATTCAAACAAAATTTCCAAAATAATGAAGTTTTTGTAGAACAATTATTTAAGCTATCTATTTGACTTATTTATAAAATCTGACATTGGTCAGACTATCAGAAAGGACCATAAAGAGTTATAATAAAATCTAAAATTATATTTTATAGCTTATATCAAGCCCTACTAAAAACAAGAAGCAAAGTTTTGTGTGTGTGTTTCTTAAAATTTATAAATTGAGAGGAAGGAGAGTAAACATAACATTTGGAACGAAATCTTATGTTGAGGGAGGGCTGATTGTAAGTATCACTGGACTGAGACACTTGCTAATTTCTCTCTCTCTTTCGCCCTCTCTCTCTGTCTTTCACTCTCTCTCTCACCCTCTCTCTCTGCCTCCTCCCCCTTTCTCTCTCTCTCCTCACCATGTGCTGAACATCACTACAGACTAAAACTCTGAGCCAAAAATAAACCTTTTCTTCTTTAGGTTTCAGATATTAGGTTTTTTTGGTCTCAGTGACTGAAATATGATTAAGATAGAAATTGGTAACTAGAGTAGGGCCACAGTTGTGACTGTACCTTACCATGTGATTTAGAAACCTTTGGGATTGGTTTACAGGAAGAGTTTGGAAAGGTCTGAAGATATGGACTACAGAAGCCACAGACTGTTTTGAGCAATGGGGGATGTGTAACAATGAGCAGAGTTCAAAATACCAGAAGGATGATAAGAATGCAGATAGTAAAGTCTAGGTTCAGAAGGTTTCAGTTGGGAACAATGATTCCACTGGCAGTGTTAGAGGCCAGCTGCGTTATGCTCTGGCAGAAAAACTGTCAACATATCCTGAGATTCTGCAAGACACTGAGATTATGGGCAGCTGACTAATTAATCTACAGGAGGAAATTTCAAGGCAGTCTAGTATGGAATTTGAGGCATGAGTACTGCTGGCTACTTTTAGCCAGATCTACAGTTAGATGAGTGCCAAAACCAAAGCTTAATAATTCAAAAAATTTTGCTGGTGGCCAAAAGGAAGTGCCTGTAAAGTGAGAGGTGAGGAGAACTTGGCTGCTGAAAAGATCAATATTAAAACAAAGCCAATACTTTGCATCAGGACAGTTGAGAAGATGTTATAAAGTCATCTCAGGAATTGGCCAAACCTGCCCTTCACAGACTTAGGAGTGTAAAAGAGGAAGATATAGTTTTCATAAGACACATTTTGGGAGTCCAGTTCATTTAGGGTTACCTAGGAAAATGTACTCCTAAGATCAACCATCTAAGAACTCAGGTTGCTGAAGCTAAGGGGTCAGGCCACTGCTCAAGCCAGGAGACTCTGACATCATTCACGGTTAGTTCTAGTTTTTCTTGCATATAAAATACAAGAATTATGGGTTACAGAGGCTTCCACCAAGGTTTTGAAAGATGACCTGGGAAGCAATGGCTTGAATGCAAAAGTATGTGATAGGATCATAGTCCCTGGTAGGTGCACCTGAGCAGGGTGAGGCAGGAAGGTGTAAGAGTGAACCAAAGGTACGCTGGAGCCCTCAGGAAACTGAAGATGTTAGGAATATGAATCATCTGCCTAGCAAAGCTACCAGCACTAAGTAGAGCCAGCTCAAGACAGAATGCATGTGGGCTGCAGGCAGGGCTTGCTAAGCCCTTAGGAACTCACATCTCACATACTATGTCCTAGGTGTTGGATATGAAGCTACAGGATTTAATTTTGCCCTGCTGGTTTTCAGTCTTCCTTTGGTCTGATTTCTGTCTCTTCCCATATTCCTCCCTTTTGCAAATGAAGTATTTACCTTGTGTATGTTAGAAGTATTTATTTATTTAATTTTTTTTTTTGGATTTTTCACAAAAGACTAAGAGTCTTCCTTGAATCATAGAGAGGCTACACCTGGAGGTTTTTTGCAATGCTAGAACTATCAAGAGTTTGGCAACTCTTAAGAGATGGGGTAAACATATTTTATGTAGTGAGACAAATATGCATCTTTTGTTATGGTTTAGATCTAACATGTGCCCCTAAAGTTCATGTTCAAAGCTGGGATTTGTTCACAAGAGACATATCACTGGGGCATAACCTGGAAGATATCTCCTTCCCCAGCTCTTTCTGTCTCTAGCTGTTTCCAAGCTATGATGATGTGAGCAACTTTCCTCGTGTGGCCTTTCTATCATGCTTTTTCTGCATTGCAACTGATCAACCACTGACTGAACTCACTGAAACAGGGAGCCAAAACAAACCCTTTTTTCTTTAAATTGTGGGAGTCAAGTCTATAAGTAGCAAGAAACTGACTTATACAAAGTATAACATCATATTTCCTTATATCAGAAACAAATCACATCACTAAAAAAGTAAACCATATCATCCTTAGATTACAGTGAAACACTTTCATGTTGGAATTTGACAAAGAAAATAAAACATCAAAATAATGACAAAAGCCTTTCTGAATTAGAAAAAAAGTTTTTATGTTCAACATTTCAACATTTGGCCCAATGGTCATGTGAGATATCTCATTATCTTTTCTATAGATAAGGATATATATACAGGGAATCCCATTAATTTATGAAAATCAGTATTTCAAGTTGTTACCTTGATCTGTAATTCTTAACTATCTCGGGGGGCAATTACAAAAGCTATTTTAAATATCTCATGGTTTCACTTATGTGAGAATCCCAAATTATAAATAAAGATCAAAGTAAAACATAAATAATAGAAGTAGAGAGATAGATCTTTCTCAAATAGGAAGGAGACCAAAAGATGAGAAAAGGGCTGAGGATGGAGAAGAAGTAGTTGAAGAAAGGAATTAAAATGTGTTATGAACATGAACCAATCTTACACAATGAATGTAAACACTATATACTACAAATATAAAAATATTCTATTCAAAACAAAATTTAGCATCACTTTATATCTCTTATGATTTTTTAGCTCACCTTGTTTCATCAATATATACAGATTCAAGCACGGTGGCTGCATATTCCAGATTCTTCTTAAGATCTACCACTGAAGCTTCCCCTCTCTCTAACTGTTTGACCAAAGACCGCAACCTAGGGGGAAGAGAGAGTATGGCTTCATTAGACTCGAGGAAGTAAAGAATAATTCAACAATTATGGGACACATACTTTAAGCTCATTAGATATTCTTATTTGTTCCAATGCATATGAAAGGAAAACAATCATGGGCCAAAGTAATAATTATAGACACACACACACACACACACACACACACACACACACACATTTTCCTATTATTAGAAAAGACCAAAATTTTCTCAGTTATCAGGCCTGATGATTCCCAAAATTTTTTTCCACTTTTGCTCTTTCTTGGAATTTTATCTTTTTGGTTTTAACAAGATACAATAAAGTATGGCCAGCAGCACTTTCACCAAAAACCTTTGTTCAGCCTTAGAGAAGAGCAGACCGTGGTCTAGTAATGTTTCAAGCCGGACGAGGAGCTTTAAACTACCCCCAATGCCAGAGAAGATTGCCAAATAAATAGATGAATATAAACCATTTTACTACGTAGGAAGAATCTCTGTGAAAGTAGAAACATACTATATTTTTCAAAAATGAGTATGGATATTAAGCAGAGGTATTCTAGACAATCCCAGAAAAATAAAGTATATATTTTTATTTATATGAACATTATGTGCAGAGAGGACTTAGCATATATGAGGGTAATAAAACGCCTGCAGATACTCAAAGTGCAGTAACTGCCAAGAGCGTAAATACCACAGAGATATGGAGACTGGAAAACTCTTCAGGCTGTCTGACAGCCAGCAAAGATGGGTGGAGTCTCTGAAAACAAATAGGGGCTTGAATCCCACTTTACAACGTAATCGCTATGCCATGCTAGTTATTTAACTTTAGTGACTGCCATCTACAAAATGGAAAAGTGACTACAAAATTTCCCACTTGACATAAAGATCAAACAAAATCAATATAAAATACATTCATTCATGTTTTTTTTTTCAAGAGGCAATTGTTTTACTTATTATCATTGTTATTCCATGACCTTGATCATCAAAGGTAACCAAATAAAAATAATTCTAGCTGGACATTTCAGACAACTAGTATCAAGTGAAATCATTTTCCCCTTGGTTTATATACTTTGTTCTCATCTTCCAAAATAGCTTCAAATTTGACTCACAGGGCAGAAAAAAACTACTCTTCCTCCCATGTTCATGAAAATGACCACAAGTAGAAAAATTCTGGATCCACCTTAGAAAGTAGGCAATAGGATCAATTACACAAAAGCAATTTCCATGATATAAAATACAGATGAGATTACATTAAAAGGAATCTCTAAGCTGACTCGTGGATCCCCAATATGCAGAAGGAAAATCAGCAGAGGCCTCTGCAGGCTTGGAGATAAGGGTCAGCCTTCTGGACCCTTTTAGCAGCATTAACAAGTATTCTGGATTTTAGAAGTTTCTCTAGTACCCAGAGTTAGTTCAGAAGGGCCTGACAGTCACCCACATGCATCTGCTAAAGAATGGGCAAACGGCAGGAACAAGCCCTGACTGCTATTCCAAATAAGGATTGGAAGCTTTTCAGCAAACACATTCCTGTCCAAATCTGCCTCCATTGAGATTTTCACCTCAAGAGACCTGGGTACCCCTAGGCTGGTAACCAACAGTCCTGTCTGGACTGGGAAAGAAAGAGGAGAACAATTCAAACTTTTCAAAAATGTCCTCCTTCTGTTGGAGCTGAAAGATTCTACCAGGAATTTAACATGGATCTCTGAAATAAACTATCTCCATTCTCCAAACCTAAGAGCAAACAGCAAAATAAAAAAAAAAAAAAAAAAAAAAAAAAAAAGGAACTAGGAACTATGACTAATAGAAATAATAAAAGGTCCTTATCTACCTGTAACAGGGCTTCCACAGGAAATAAACAAACAAAAGAGGCTTTAATTAAAATAAGTTTTCCTATACTAAAATCAGACCCAGATAAACAGGTGAAAAGGACCAAATAAAACCAGAAAAAAGTAAATGAAAACATCTGACATATGCTATTGTAAGTTTTATTCCAAAATATAATTTTTAAGAAACTTGAAAAGCTTTGAGAAAATAAAACATGTTGGTTTCAAAGTAACAAAAATGCAAGCTGGCTACAGACACCTACCATGTCAAACACCAGAAAGCAATTTAACAACAGTACCGCCTTTTAAGAACACTATGGCATAACTGAAGCTATTTACGCCTATATCTAACAGAGTTGCCATGTATGTGTAATACCAATGAAGATATTTTCAAATGTGAATAAATTCAAAATATTATCGTTCAAGTGCTATCTACAAAACAAAAACAAACTTTAATGCATACTCTAACAATAATCTTCCAAGGCAGTACCCTCAGGGCCTTCCAGTTCAATGGACTATGGATTCATGGCCTAGAGTTAGGGAAAACAATCTTCGTAAAATCAGCAAGTAGTTTCAAAAACTTCCTGAAAAAAGTGGCCAATAAAATATATTGCTATTATAATTTTGAAAATTAAAAAAATTTTTAAAATAGCAATGATATACATGCTATTTGTAACCTAGTATTTCACTTAATGGAGTGTACCCTTTCACCTCAATAAAGTCATGTTAACATCATTATCTCTTAATGATATAATAACTCCTTCCATGCTAATAGTACAAAGACAACTAAATATGAAAATGAGCTGACACTTCTTTTCCTAAGATATGATCCTATTCTTATGAAGTGAAATCAAAAATCAAGGAACAATTAAGATTATTAAGAACATTATAGAGATTATGGATTATATCAATCATTTTAAATAATTCCCACTCCCAGGATATCACAGTGCTGTGGTCTGTATCTAGATATCCCCTCAAAGCTTCATGCCCTCATAGGCTGGTCTTTGGGAAGATGATTAGATTATGAGGGTTTAGAGCTGCTTGCTGTCAGGATGTGGGGTTTGGTCAGAAGAGGTGGGCTATAGAAAGGATGGATGGAAAGGATTTGTCTCCCTCCTCAGCAACTTTTTTTGCTCTCTACTTCTTGGACACCAGAAAGTGAGCCTCTCTCCCATGCCATTCTGCTCTGCAGCCAGCTGTTCCTGAACTAAAATAATCCTCTTTAATTTTGCCCCAGTGATGAAGAAAATGACAAAGACATATTATGGAGGGAATCAAGTTCTAAGAGACTCATGTTATCTTGTTATTAACTTGGGCCCCAGGCCAGAGACACAGTAGAAGTCTCAGAGAAAGCATCATTTGGAAACCCACTCAGTAACTCAGATTAGCAGCTCTGAAAATCAGCTACATTAAAAAACCTCAACTTTTGTGCCATCGTCAGCAATATAAGTGACTCCTCTTTGATGCAGATCACCAGTGGCATCATTGGGCAGTTTTATTTATCAAGATGGTCTGACTCAAAGTAAAACTATAAACAAACAAACAAAAAAAAAACTCACCAAAGGGCTTGAACTGACACAAATACTTTCAAATGATACAGAAATAAAGTACCTTTTGCTTCCCAAAATTTTGTATCAACCTTGCTTTCCAGCTTCTGAGATAAGCAGAATATTCCACCAACATCCTGGCAGACAGAAGCCGGACTCGGGTATAATTCATCCTCTGTTTGGGGAAAATCACCCAACTGACAATTACCTCTCTTGATTCAAGAATGATTAAACAAAAAAAAAAAATCTATGAAAATATTCAACAATGAAGACAGAGAACACAGCATTCAAAATGTAGAGAAAGGACCTGCTTTTGAAACAGAAATTCAACAATGGAAACAGAAAGAAATTTTAGGGACTATCTGCTATTGGTTCCATAAAACTTGCAAAAGCATAGATTTGTGGATCCTAGAATCAATGTGATAAATAGTGAACATTTTGAGAGAGGAGAAGCAATTTAAAAGAAATAAAACCTGATAACAGGAAAACAATAAAAAATTTTTAAAAGATGTGGTAACAAACTTTCTAAACACTCAGCTTCTGTTTGATCCAACACCCATGCCAGATATAAAATACAGCTGTCAACTATCTGTTTTACACAGCTGCCACTCTAGAAGTTCCTGGTGGCCCTTCTCTTCACAATCACTGAATTTTAGCATACTACATAGATGCCCACGTTCTCCTCTAGGTCTTTATCTTTCCGACCTATTGCATCCTGCTCTACCTCCCTCACCTCCCACAACCTCTTGGTGAAGCTGCTAGTTCTTAGACAGAAGAGTTTCCAATTAGATTTTTTTTAACAACAAACAATTTATTATCCACCAATGTCAAAAGTTCCTCAAGTCACTGTGAATATACTACTTTCCATCATAGTACAGGTTTTCCCTACATTTAAATCCATCTTGAAACAAAGATGGATTGCTTAAAAGGTAGTCAGTATCTTTCGTACCCCTATCATAAAGTAATTCTTTTTTATTAGCTTAGAGAAGACAAGTTGCAACATGAAGGCTCACTGCCTTCCTGCTTTCCTAGTGACATGTGTCTGAATGTTTTTACATGGGAATTCTTTCCACCTACAAGGCCAAGGGCCAGGCTCCATTGTAAGTGGTAGCTTACATTTTGAAAATGACGGATATGTAGTTTTTGAAGACTACTCAAATGAATTTTTGGTATGGGTACCTAATGGAGTTCATTTCACAAGCTTTTACAATAAAATCACAAAGAAGAGTGGGGGAAAAAGGAGAGAGAAGAGAATGGGAAGGAGGAAGAAGACAATATAGAACAATAAAAATAATTAAAATAAAGATACTCTTTTGCATGAATCTTCAGTTTCCAGCACCCTCTCCATTTCCATCAAAGTAGCTACAAGATAATATTTCCAGCATAAAACTGTAACACTATTTTAAGAAGAGCTTATGCCTTCAAACTTTGGCGAGATGCCCTTGTTAGCCAGTGTATCATGTCATTGTGAATGAGCCCCCATGTCTTCACAGGAGTCCCCCATTTCTTCCCCTTTCTCTTTGGGGCTTCTTTGCTGCAAAGTACAGGATGAAATTTTTCATCACTTTAGTAAACTGTGCCCTCGAGCCCAGAAGAAGTGCTGGAAGTGGGCTTCCTCTGCACCCATGTTAGTACGG